AAACTCGGAAGGATTTGTTGAAGAAGAAAAAACGCACTTAAATGTCAAATGAAACCTGGAATACTCCAGCAGCATTGTTAAAATCTATGTAGTTAAATAAAAATAAATAAAGTCTATGTAGGTAATAAAAGCGTTCTAGGGCCTTAAGCCCTACTATTTTGAGGCGAATAGGCTCAAAGTATCGTTCCTCGCACCATAATCTACAGGAGGTCTTCTCGGACATTCTGTTATATTTTTGCTGGTTCGGCGTTCCTCGATACTGCACCACCCATTTGGATACGCGCAGAATCCAAAACTGAATGTGGAATTTAATTAATTGATATTGAATTACTTGACCTTCCAGAAGTCTCTATGTCCCCACAAGGCCTAGAAACATCTTACACGACGGCGCCCGTTCGCGTCAGGGCACGGTTTCCCACTGTTCAATGACGTTCGACCACGAGCGTCATTTCCCATCCCGCCCGGGGGCCCGATCCCAGATTGATCGATTCTCTCAACTCATTGGCCGATCACCGGGCCAGACGGCTAACGGATGGATGGGAATCTAGCTCTGTATTAACTCGTGCGCAGTCCATCTCCGCGCATTTCGCCCTGAGGAAGGTCGCAGAATGGCGACCGAAACGTCACCTGGGCCTCGTACCCGGCGTCTCCCGGACAGACAAGTATTCCCTTTCACTCCGACAGCGGAAGCCTACGCTCTCATACATCAGCTTTGTTCGGAAGTTGAATTAATAACTCCCAAGAATTTTATAAGTGCTGACGTGGCGACAGATTTGCTTGTCACGGAGATAAACGGATCTTCTGCAGCAATTCACTACAATTCGCTTCGTCTTGTATTTACAATATTTAGTAAAGTCTTGACAAAAAATGTTAAGGGATTCTGAAAGTTTCCTAACGTCTTGGGAGCTCATTGAAAGGGTGAGATGTCACGCCTAGAGCGCCATGCTGCTATCTGTGACTCAAGTGACGAAAGATAGTATTTTTTGATAAAATTAAAACCGATCTCGTGCACGCGCAAATAAACAATGCTCTAGCTAGTTTACATTAGTTCTCAGGAAGGTTTATCGTCGTTGGACCAGAGACTTGGAGCCAAATTTTAAAATGCAGATGCATAAATGTGGTAACGTACGTACATTATAAAATACATCGTATGCGTAAATACGTATTCTACAGAAGTGTCACAAATGCTCGTTTAAATAATTCTAGTTTGGTGAAAGACAAATACGATGTTGATTCCCACTCGTACTCCCTGCACATGTCTAGCTCTATAATCAGAGCTTTTCTGGCGAATACTTCATAGACAGCGATATTGTACTTTTCCGAAGCGTTTTCGTTGTGCTTACTTCCTACTCGTGAATGCAAATCGTATTTCAACACTGTTAAGAGTGTTGATAACATTTATCATAATGCTTCCATGGATCATCTACCTACTGTTCAGTTCACTAGTGCAATCCTTCAGCAATCGTACCAGCACTCTCTCGTTGACAAACACAATTTTCAGGAAACGAATACCACTTATGTCACTTTTTGATTTTTTTCAGTTTATTTAACGGAATGAATGGTAACATTGGGTTTTATTAACCGTTCTATCGTAAAATGCAAAATTCTCTTTAGTCACGTTCACATTAGTCAAAAATTCAAATGAAAGTACACTAATATGCGTAAAGGCTTCTCCTTTCTACTTAAAAAGTAAGAAAAATGACTTCAATTGTGTTTGGGATGGAGGTCTTCATTACACCACAATATTTGTAACTACTCGATTCTTGGAACAAACCTTCCACGGACTCCAGATCACTGACACGTGCTTGCAAAATCAGACATTAAATTTAGCGAATGTTTACAAATTAGTACGCCACTCTTAAATCATTGGAGGGATATAGATGGACCAACTTATTGTTGCGATAAATTGTACCAAAAAAGTTTAAAATAAATTGCGAAGATAAATAGGTTACTTAAATCGAACATGATCTATTAACGCTAAGTTTTATTGAGTCAATATTTTTTCTCAATTAATCGGTCCAATTTATTTGTACATATGTGTTGTTTGTAACGACTGTTTGGTCAAACCTAACCAATTTGTCTGTGGTCGGTGATCTTTCGCCATTTAATAAAATATGACCGATTAACCGTTGTAAAGTTAAACATGTACAAAACTGCAGCCTTAGTAATTTAAAATGATCGAGTTCATAGTAATAAAAAGAAGAAGAACAAGGGGTCGTTCGAAATGGGTCAAATCTTGAGTACTGAAAATAGATTTGAATCACATGCCGCTTCTTAGACAATTGCGAAAATTATTCTAATGATTTTAAAAATTAACTGCGTATGGATTTATGCACAACTTTTATGCAATTATTAGAGCTAGTAAAAGAAAAACTAAGCAAGATACTGTAATGTGTAAGGCAATTACACCAGGGTAACGTCTGATTGCAATATTCCGATTTTTAACGACTGGGCGATATTATAACTGTTTGCGTGTACTGAACTCTTGAACGCATAATTCCAGACACATGCCGTGTGTCATATGAATTTTTGGAAGAAGAATATATGAAGATAATAAGAAATTATAGTAAAAGTTTATTTTATTATAAATTTATTTGAACAATATGTGAAACATTACAATTATGTTAACTCTGTATCGTTTAACTTCATATAATAGATTGTTGCATCCACTTTATCATTTCAACATCTTGAGACATAAGCTTGGAGAAACTTGGCGATGTAAAAGATGGAACGCTGTTATGCAGTTCTTGTTAGCTCTTTAAAATAACACTCTTTAATGTCTTGATTAAATCTTCAGCTAATTCTCGTTCAACATCAGTTAGTTTTCGCAATTTTGATATCCAGCTATTTCTCAATACATTGAAATCATCTTTTTGTAATAGACCTTATTTTGCCTAATTCTGTCAATATGTCCTAAGAAATTATTCTTCTTTCTTTCATATATTTCATTTTTTCTACCGCACATTTTCTCGGTGTTGCAGACGATTAAAAAACTGAAAAAATGAACTTTCAACACTATGTTTTAAAATTATTTACTGGAATATAAGACAAAACTAAAATTGCTTTTTTAGTTTTAGTGCCCTTCAACTCAAGAAGAGTAACGAACAATTTTTAACGCGGCTAATACTGAAGAATACATTAACACAGTCGTGGCATCACGTCTCTGCCTCCATTACCAGTTAAACGCCGACCTCTGTATTTTGACACAAAATACGAGTAAAAGCATGAGGAGAACAGTCTAACTCTTAACTTCCCTAAATTGCTTACAGATTATAGTAATCGTAATTACTTGGGTCCACAAGACATTAGCAACTTACTTGTAGATACGTTTGATAGTAACTCATGCAACAATCACTATGCTTCCAATTTCTTACACGAACAGTCAACTACGTTCAAAATTTCTCAAAACTTCACATTGTCCCTGGTGAAGAACAACGAAGATCTTTTAAGCCAGGAATTTCAAACGGATAAATTACTTTTTGTACTGAATAATTGTAATAACTCTTCACCAGGACCTGATAATGTTCCTATTAGCTATATTAAGAGTCTCTCAAAAAATGGCCTTATTTGTCTCCTCCAACTATACAACCTTATCTGGACTACCCAATCTTTCCCTGATCAATGGAGAGAAGTAGTTTTTCCACAAACCTAACAAGGACCATTCAAAACCAACTAACTTCCGTCGTATAACTTTAACTTGTAACCTATGCAAGTGGTTAGAGAAAATGGTTTGTAAACGTAATAGATGGATTCTGGAATCGAGAAATATCCTATTACTTTACCAAAGTGGCTTTAGTTCAAGTCGTACTTTCAATGACCACCTAATTAACATAGATAGTGAAATATGTGATTCACTAGTCATGAACCAAAATGTGATAACTGTTTCATTAGACATTGAAAAGGCATATGAAATGGTATATAGACAAATATTGTCCAGTCTCTCCGAAATACCAATTAGGGGTAATCAACTTGCTGTTCTCTTGAATTTCTATGCTTATAGATATTTCCAAGTATCCAGCACAAAACACCTCAACGAGAAACGATGGTAAACATCCTTGCAGATAACAAGGCTCTGTTATGAGTGTACTGCTACAACTTAATGAACTGAGCAGTATTGTTAAAAACTGTCTTAAGATATTCGTATTTACGGATATCACTCTATTATTCATCTTCAACTAACCACCAGTATCATTCAAGATAACTTAAAGAAGATATATGGGCAAACTCATGTTTTATCATATCAAAAACAAAATGAGGATTTATTGTATTCTCCAGAAATTATATTATAAACAAAAGTATTTCATTAAAAATTGGCGGGCATAAGTTGCCCAGAAGTAATACTTGTAAGATCCTCGGAATGATATTTGTCCATGAACATTCATGGAAATATCATATCACCAATCTCAAAACCACTTGAATATCAATATTAAATATTATAAAAATGTTATCATCGAAAAGATAGGGAGCTGCATCCAACTGTCTCTTCAGAACTTACACAGACTTAATCCAAACTGTATTATGGGTTAGCTATATCCAGTGCATTTCCTAGACATTTACAACAACTAATAAACCCATTCATTAACAATGCAGGTCGTCTAAGCCTCAGTGCTTGTATATCTAGGCACTGCAATAGTCTTTTAGTGGAAACTGGATTAATACCATTGAACGTTAGAAATAAACCATTATACCTACAATATGCATACTCAAGACTCTGTTATATATAATCCCATCAAATCTATACATCAGTAGTCGTCTAAAACAGGAATCATTTATAATTCTCGTCCAAATTTTCCAAGATCCCTTCTAGAATGACTTCTTAGCCATTAAGAAAATTTTGATATTGAAAACTATCTTTTCTCCCAATTTATCTTCTAACACATTTCACAACAGATGTGAAATTAAACCAATATTTAAGTCCAATATTGACATCACATTCCCCGAACGTTTACATTAATGGGAAAAACGAAAAGTATCAAAAATAGTTTACTTATGGATCAAACGCGTCAGATAATCTGGCTGTGCTGCAGTTTCTACTACATCCTCAAACATTATATCATGCCGTCCTCCAAATTTTCTCTCTATTTTTGCCTGAGGCCTGACATCATGACAACATTCAGAGCTACCCAAAATAGATTCTCCAACAATCCAATCATTCAAAACATCCAAAATCTTCTTTACAACAATGAAAAAAAATTAGCATTATTCTAGCGTGGCCTACTTCCCATAATCCCTGGAAATGAAAAAGGGAAATGATAAAAGCGCAACCCTTTTATTGAACGATGACCAGTATATATGGAGCTTTAAATCACTATAAAAACTTTGAAAAAGTGAATTATTAAGGTCTGGGATTCCCTGTGGAAAGCTCCAACGTCCAAACTCCATGTTGTACGAAAATCTGTAACAGACTCAAATATCCCCAGCATCACATTAAGAAGAAATGAATAAGTTATTACTACAAGATTAAGAATTGGCCGATTTTCTTTCACACACTATTATCTAATAAAGAACTAACCGAGACACCCGTCCAAAATGTGGAGTAATGTAATCAACATCTTACATAATCCATGAATTTTTAAGCCTCCAAACCTAAAATACCCTCTTCGCATCAAAACTATACACAAGTATATGAAATATTTAATTCAATCGAAGGTTACAAACCACCGTCAAACTTTATCAATATTGTTCTTGATAAAATAATTTAAATTATAGTAAAAATTTATTGTATTTAAAATTTCTGTTATAATTTATAAAATGTGTCTCTGGTGTATAACATTGTATTTAATAATTCTTATTTTGGTAAGGCATAATAACTGTTATTGGTATGTAAATTAATAGTAGTCGCTAATGGCCTTAGTAGTTTATAAAGCGACCTATTATAAAGAATTTAATAAAGTCATGTAGGCATGGAACAATCAACGTGGGAGAAAGGCCTAGAGGTAAAAGATCCATGTAACTACATACTTCAATATAAGATTGAGGTACTCTTTAAGACAGCTATTTATAAAAGCAAGATACACATCCACATATTGATATGCATATATTAACTTCTTATGTGATCACGTCACTTCTTATGTGATCAGGAAGACAAATAGACATTATACATATTGCATTTATTGGTCAGGTGGAATGCGTTATTTGTTGACGATACGCATTTGCATTCGAACAAGGAAGTGTATATTATTACAAAACAGAAGTTGATTTTTACTTTCTCACTTCCGCTACCGCAGTATAGAGAAAGACATACATTGCTGCGCGAAAAAACGGCGACTTTGCGTCAGAAAACTCTTCTTACAGGGCCCTGGTACCGAAAAAGTAGATAAATCCAGTTGTTAAATTTAGAAACATATCCTCTAATACGTGTTGAAGCCAAAAAACATGTTTTGTGGGTCGTTTATACCGAAAAATCGATTAATGACAAAACATGTAAGTCTGTGAACAACGCTAGTGGCTAAACCGTTCAGGCGCTTTTCTCCAAAATTGATATTCCGCAATCGATGTGACTGATTTCACAGCCCCTTGAATTTGAAACCTATAATTTAATTTTGGGGGGTACTTTACATGAAACACCCGAGACACTTAAAAAATAGCTCCAACGTTTTTAATGGATTTTTTTTGATGAACCTTTAAGGAAATGGTACCGGTCTCATGTTGGTTAAAACACCTGATTTTTCGAAAATTGAAAAAATCAAACACCTTTGGCGCCTTCCTACAATTACAATTACGAATATACACTGTTTTCCTTAATGAAATGTATGTATCGAAAACATCTTCAAATAAAGTAATGTGTAATTGTTCGAAAATATATTTTTTGTGTAATTTGGCGACAAATAAGTTGCCGCTCCCAATTTACTGCGCTTCGTCAACGTAAAATGAATGGTGATACTATGCAGTTGGATGCTACGTGAGTTAGAATTTCTATTTTATTTTGTTTCATTTCATTATTATATTTGGTATTTTATTTTAAATTACGTCCTTTATTTGCGTTAAGTATGAAAACGAATAGATGATTTCTCTTTGCCTAGTAAGATGTGGGAATGGTGAGTAATGCATGCAAAAACCGAGTAACTTTGTTGAATATAAAAATATTTTTAATTATTAAAATTTTCTATCCATTTTTATTTTTTTGTGGTATCAACAATGATAATTCGCAAAATGTGTATCTCATACGAATTAGCGGTCATTGCTACTTGTAACCTATTGTTATAACGCCAAACTGAAAACAAGGCGATAATGACGTCTGATATTCGCTCGTGATAATATAAACTTTTATATATTTGAAGAATAATACAACACAATACTATTTAATAATTAGTATAATATATTTTTGGATCTATTTGCATTTGTTTGAGAACGCTGCCAGTATCGTATTATTCATTAAATTTTAATTATTGTACTTCCTCGCATACTGTTTATGCAGAATATTGTGAGGCTCATAAACTCATCCGATATGTACCTGAATATACTGCCTACCTTATACAATGAATTCAAAGCCATAAATATATTTTCATTTAAAATTGTGAATAAAAAATCTATTGCATGAAACTAATTTTCGCACCAAATGTTAAACAAATTCAAATGGGTTTTACAAGAAATGATGACTGCGTTTTGTTAATTCGGAGTGAAATATTGTGGTATAAATAGTATTACAAAGCCGGTACTAATGGAGAGAAAGTTCGTGCTGATTTAGCACTACTAGTTTCAATAGCCAAGATATTTTATCTCGAGAGTGCCCACAATGTGTAGACACATGTATCTCTCAAATATAGCTGCAACTTTTTGTGAATGCGAATGATCTAAAGTTCTATTTACTTAAATATGTATTTTATTTAGTTTGTAAATGTCCCCCAATAGCATTGTTAATGAATCCTACCCTCCAGAAATCTTGTCTAAATACGTATGGCGAGAAAGGTAAAAATTGGCAAAGAACACACAAAAATCATTAAACGTATTACGTTACTAAGAAACTTCTCAAGAATAGAAAAAAAGAAGAAATTATACCGATTTATAAAAAAGGCAATAAAGAAAAATGTAAAAACTATAGAGACATTAGTGTCACAAGTTCAATTGGTGGACTGTACGGGCGAATAATTAAAGGAAGAATTGAGTCGGAGATAGAAAATCTGGAAGAACAAAGCGGTTTTACGGCTGGCCGTTTATGTGTAGATAATATTTTCTGCACCCAACAAATCTTAGAAAAAAAGGAAATCCTGAGGAAGAGATTCTCATTTATTGTTTGTTGACCTCCAAAAAGCATATGAAAGCATTTCCATTTGCAGGTTTTTTTTAAAATTGTAGAACAAAAATGTAATTTTAAATTAGTTAACACAATTTAGAAAATGTAGAAAGACAGTAAAGGTATTGTGAAAGAAAACGGACATGTATCAAATGATATAATAATTTCTAAAGGATTAAGGCAGTGGTGCTGTATGTCCCCAACTCTTTTTAACATGTACATTGCCGAAGCTCTGGGAGAATGGAGAATGAAATGCAGTGTGAAGAATGGAAATTGGAGAATCAACACTGGATGTTCTACTTGTCGCGAATGATCTAGTCATCATGGCTGAGGATGAGCAGGATATTAACTATGTGTTTAGAAAAGTTAAATAGGAATGTGAAATATGGGGATTGCAAATAAATGTGTCCAAAGCGAAGTTTATGGTAACAGAAAATATGGAATTGTTTTTTTAATAAAATTTTTTAAACATAAATTTTTCACAAAAATTTTTAGAAAGTCTGTCTTGTTTCTGTTTTGCAAGGTTCGCTTTTTTTCATTTCCTTAAAGACGTCCCCTGCACATCATCTTTCTCTTTGACAAGAAATAGTAGCAGTCGATCTAAATAAGACAATTGATTACATTTTCTGTTGGCACTTCTCATAGACACGGCTGAAAATAATGTCATGACATACGTATAGCGCTTACGCCAGGAGATCAGAATGCATTGGCGCCATTATACGCAACGTATCTGACAGTTATCGCGCAGCACAACGACCAAGTTTGAACATTCTCACAGGAAATGAGGCAATGAAAGGATAAAAATAGAAGGCCAGGCGTTCTTAGAAAACTACAATGAAGGAAAACATGAAATATCAGACGACTAATGCATCGCGATAATTCAGGAAAATAAAATTGCTGTGTCTTGGATCTCACAGATCTATTGCATACAAACATGTTACAACAAAGTGTTCTACAATACTCAGGAAGATAATGATAATTATAGCCCAAATTTTCATCCACTTTTTGCAACCATTTTAATATTCCTAAATTTGCATTGTGACTTGTCTAATACCACTCCCGATAAGGATACATAAATAGGGAATAATACGCAAATACGTTTTAATACACAGTGAACTGTGAATAATGATTTGATATTGCTTGAAACTTGTTTGGCGTACAATATTATTTAACGTGAACGTTTTTTTTGTTTGTTTTATTTTTTAAAAGGTCTCTTGGTCCTTGGTCTTGGCAATGAGTGTATCTGGAGTCCTCCTCTTGGAGTTTGTCTTTTGTCTCGTAACGTCGCAGTCGATCATTGACTTTTATCCGGTGACAGTATCAACAGCTCACTACAAATATTCGCATATAATATTACATTATTTTACAATACCTTGCCGAATGACATTAAACGATTAAAGTCGATACAAAAGTTTAAGTCCCAAGTAAAATCTTTTCTGATGCATAACTGTTTCTATACAATTAGAGACTATGCCGAGCATCCAAAAGGAAAGTAATGTTAATTTCAACAATGACATTTAATGTATTATTCTTAAGAATTATTCTTAATATTGTATAATTCTAAAGAACCTGTAACAAGTATTGTACTTCAGCTTCTGGGTAAATGACCCGCATCTCGATCAGGTTTTCGTCCAGCTTCCCTGATCCTCGAGCAAATGCTGTGATGGCCTCTTGTTTTGCTTCTGGACATAAATGTAACTTCAAATTAACTTCTGCCCATAGTACGTCACACACAGTTTTTAACTGTTTGTGACGTAAATAAATAAATTAAATCCTTTCGTTCAGGGACTCGTGATCGTTATTAATCGGGGTCCCCTGATGATAACCCGTTCGGGAATCCGTGGTTTCTGGAGTTGCTTACTTTTCGTGACTTCACGGAGAATAGTTTAGCAATACAGCTAACTACGCCAGTCTGATCGGCAACTTCGTTTGATTCATT